CAGCGGTATCACGAGCCTCTTGCATTTTTACAACTAAAAATTAATTAAGGTGATTTAAACTGGATTAAAATTTCTGGATTAGCAACCTAATTAGATTAGGACCTCGGTTTTAATTGAATTAAAATTGTTTTATTGCTATTTTATGATTACGAGCCCAGATTTCGACTCAAAAACAGTGAATTTTAGGTGGAATCGACGTTCTAAATCAATTTTTACCCACAAAGTGAATGGCTTCCAAAAGCCAAAATCTTCCTAGAAATGTTATTTTGAGGGGTTTTTCGTTTGGTACGAAATTTTTTTAATCTTTAAACTTGATTAATTATGACATGAAACTGTTAGATTATGTGTTTGATTATAGCAATAATCTACTGCTATTTCATTCCTTATTAAGCGTGTTAATGATGTGAAATGGTGCTTAATTTGGATAACTCTTAAATTTACGTAAACTTGGTATTTGTTCATTCCTGCAATTAGATTGCTTGTAATGTATGAGTTTATGTTAAATATGATTTTTGAACCCTTAAAATAGTCAAAGATTGATACTTTAATGGTTTACTTGGTTGAATCTTGACTTGCTAAAATCCAAAATGAACATATTTTGAGTTTTAATCATTTTGGAAATTGATTAAAATCCTGAATATTCATACTTGAGCTTGAATATTATTCTTCATTAGAAGGTGAAAATATTCAAATATGCATGAGTAACTGTTGGATAAATTATTTTCATTGGATGATTGATTATTAATTAAACTAATTTTGTCAAACTCATAATTAATTTTAATCTTTGGTTGCATGAATCATGAGAAAAGCCCTCAATTTTTAATGCATCAAGTTGATCCAAAATTGTTAAAAGAATAATTCTTTGAGTAATTTTGGTTTGTGCACTAAAACTGAATTAACTAAGTTAGACTTGTTTCAATTCAAATTGCACAAATGTTATTTCTAAAAGTAAATTTGGAATTAACTAAAATTCACACAAACATCGGATTAAAAATCCCAAGTGCACGCAAAATCGAAGCACAAAGCTTCGAACACCACACTTGGCTAGCATGGCTTGCGTAGCTCACATTAATGCTGTTGATCGAGCAGTGTGTGCGATCAAGCTTGGTGCTGAGGGCATGCGTGCGAGGGTTGGCTAGCATGGCGCGGCAAGCATGCGAGCTGAGCCAAGGCTGCTAGGCAGCGCCCAGCAGCAGCAGCATGCTTGTGCGCGCACGCTATGTGCGTGCTGACTGCCAGGCAGCACCCAGCAGCAACTCGGCATGCAAGGCAGGGGTTGCTAGGTGGCATTAACCCGAGCCTTAGCATGGCTGCTAGGCCACGCAACCTAGCAGCACCCAACCATTGAGTGGGAGCTAAGGGCCCAGTTTATGCTAGCCTTGATATTTCCCTCGATTTTTTTTTGCAGTATTGCGATTTTGTTTAAAACAAGGCCAGGCCTCGGTTTTTCACGTACTTGCAAAGTTTTGACAAAATTTGACTCGACCGACTTTAATATATAATTAGATTAATTTGATTAAGTTTGTATTGGACTTTAGTGGGAGCTTCATTAATCGGTTTTGAGCTTATTAAGCCTTAATTGTGCTTTTCGTTATTGCGCTAGTTCACATAATTGGATAAACACTTGGCTAGTTTTAATTAGGCATGTTAATTGAATTAACCACCTAAGTTAGTAACTAGTACGCGCTTATTTGATACAAAATTTTGTATTGTTGCTCATATTATTTGTAAAAATGCATGGAGCCATTCACTTTAGAAGTGAATGGGTGAATGGAATATTATAAATGTTCTTATGTAGGTTTTTACAAAAGGTAACTAGTATGTCTCGACTAGGATAGTAAATACGGACTGCGTTCCGTTATGTATTTTTGTAAATCTAAATACAGACTGCGTGTCGTTAAGTATTTTTGTACTTAGATTATTTAGATTACTCCTAGTTACTAGTAGTTGGATGCTTGATGGTGAAAGCTAAAGACGGCGTTTCTAAGAAGACGGAGCCAAAAGATGCGATGGTGCCCTTGAAGATTGGATGCTTTGAGTTTCAAGAGGTCATGCTAGTTTGCCATGCATCTTTAATTATATTTTATATATTTACTTATATATAATTGCGATATTAGATGCATGTTTTAGGATTTCGAATGTTGAATGATTAATTTAGTTCACTTAAATCAACCAACATAGAAAACCTAAGTCTCTATAAAATTGAGTTAATATTTGCCATTCTAAAATGACACTTACCGAAACTTTGAGAGTAGGTATTGAGCTATGCCAAAGCAAGGCATTACCACTTTCCTAGGGAATTAAGGTATACTAGGTATACGTGTTAGTTTTGGTTAAAATCAACGATATCAGTAAGGAGTCTTTAGATGTCCTGGCAAAAGAAATAATCGTCAAGAAAGCATTAGATGCGACGATTTATCGAACCAAGAATAGCTTAGAGCTATTAGCAATTAAATTACTTACCTTAAAATAATAAGTGTTAAGACAAGCCAAAGCATGCTTAATCAATTAATGATTTTTGGGATCTTGGAATCGTTTTATTCTCGCCTAATTGGAACAAATTTATGAATGTGTGAATAGAACGTTAATAAGTTAATTGAAATTGCTAATTTGCATGTATTTCAATTCTTATTATGTTATCTTGATAAATGGTTATTCTTTGCACTTAAATTTGTAGAATTCTAAATCGAATTATAATGTTTCCAACGATTGGTAAAGGAAATCTTTTGAGAATGGTTTCTAAAATACAATTTCTCATAAATGACTTTTATGGCCAAGTTCGAATTATAGTTCTTGAAGAGGCATTAAGTGAAATAGGAAAAAGGCAATACACATACAGCACACTTGTCCGGAAGGACAAGTGAGAGATTGAAAGGAATGGTGTCCTTCGAACAAGTGTATTATTCCGATAGAAGGTTCGGAATTAATTAGGAAAACTAATTATTCAGTGAAGTCAAATGATCAGAATGCTTAGTTGGAGGCCGCTTCCGATCAGTAAGATTAATGTATAATTAATCTTATAGCTTGCTCTTGACTGAACCCAGGGTCACACCCAATCGTGTACCCAAACAAAGGCAACGAATTAATACGAAGGATTAAATAAGTCGATAGAGATTTTACGAACTCAGACGTCGGATTTCGAACTTAGAGCATTAAAGCCGAGCGTCGAACGTCGAGTCGATTCAACGAATCGAGAAGATAAGAAAATAAGTCAAATGACAAGTCAACGAGCAAAGACCAAGCTTAGCATTGGCCTAGCCAAGCGAGGACTAGGCGTGTAAGGCTAGCAAGGCTGCTAGCCATGTGCTAACCTCGGCCACAAGCCCAGCAGCCACGCATGTGCGCTGGCTGGGCGAGTAGGCTAGCTAGCAGCGTTAGCCTCGTAAAGCATGCCTACTGGCCAAGCTAATAGTGGTAGCATCAGTCCGCAAGCATGCGAGCAGGCCAATGCTAGCAAAGTTAGCACCAGCTTGCAAGCACGCGAGCAGGCCTAGCTAGTAGCCCGCTAGCGCCCAGCAAGCTCGCGTGGGCTTGCGATGTGCTGGCAAGCCCAACCAAGGGAAAGGCCGCCATTTGGGTGTGCCTTGGAACCCAAGGCTTGGCCAGCCAGCTTGCCTTGCCTTTGGGTGAGGTGGTGGCTTGCTTATTCTCTGAGGTTTGTGGTCCTTACCTAACCCCTCCCTTGGATTGACACTTGTCATTTGCTTATTGTTTATGCTAATTAATTTAATTTAGAATTAAATTAATTGCTTATTTTTCTCATTTCATCAACTCTCCCACATGAAAAGATGATTGAAGTTTTGAGAGTGCTTTGCCTATAAATACCAACCTTGGGAGTTGGGAAATTAATTTGAGTTGAACTCAATAAGACATTTCCCTAAAGCGTGAGAAAACCTTTAATTTTGTAAAACTCATTTTTGGTTTTGACTAATCTAAGCTACGAGGTAGGAACCTTGTTCGGGCGCGTGGGTGTGTGAAGTAGGAGGATTCGCGCATGCGTGTCTTGAGCTTTACGGAGGTCGTGCTCGGGTTCGTGTGAAGCACGCTACGAGGGTAAGAATGTTTTTCCCTACTTTCTCTCTCTCCCTCTTTATGTGTTTATCGCTTTATTAATTGCATGTTTATTTGTTTAGTTGTATTAATTATGCATGCGGTCCGGGCGGATTTTGGTTCCGCACGGTGCTCACGTATCGTAAAACTCAACAAAAATATGGTATTTTTAGAGGTTGTAATAAGGTGCAAAATTTCCTTAAATTTATGGAGGAAAATATTATGAAAGGTAGTACTACTACTTTTATCGGGCAATCTAAAAAATATATTTACATTACATAACATAGGTAGAAGGTAACCAATCTAACCATATGGGCAAATAAATAAATTAGCTCATTGTCATCTTTATTGATTTGTGTGCGAATTTTCTATGATTCATCAATTGAGACAGGAAAGAAGTATATTCTAAATGTTGAATTGTTGCAAGTAGTTAGGAATTGATCGAAAAAGTACTTGGGTCTAAAAATGGTGGCAGGTTGTGTCTTGTACCAGTTTTGCGTTCCTTGGATTTGACTAGGCCGGACCCATGGTTGAGTTCACTAATTACATGTTTGTCTCGTGTCAATATTTCTAAGCTACTCGCCATACATGGTCCAAGACTCCAAGCCCATGTAACATGGTGTTGTGTTGTGTCATGTTTGTGTACCTATGTCAAATTTAACAAGTTTAAAACTTATGCGGTATCACTATTGACCATACTTTATTGTGCTTCTTCGAATATAATATGCATCCAAAGCAGTGTTATGTCATGCTTTTTTCATATTAAACCAGGTTATTTCACGGGCCAGCAGGCCCAAACCCATCTTTACTTGGTTCCTTCGGATAGGGTTGGATTTGATTCATTTGAAATGTCATCATTATTTGGAGACATTAGGTGGCCGGAAATGAGGTCCCACTCAAAAAAATATGTGGTCTAAAATTGCTAATGGTGCCAGGTTGGAGCTATTCTATTGCTCAAGCCATGTAAAAATATCAACTGAGAAGCACCACTAGTACACTTACCTCACTAAAAATCGAATCTTTTTCTCCATTAATTTCTCTTACTTTTGTCCAATCTTCAATAGAATCAATTTCTTTCTCTACCAAAAACCCCAAACCCCAAATATTAAATTTAATTTTAACTTTTTTCTTTCTGATCTCTGCATGTCTCCTTCATCTCTATTCCTCAATATTTCACCTGATCTTCCAAATCATTCTCTCATATAATCATAAAAAAAAACCCACAAAAAAAAAAAAAAAAAAAAAAAAAAAATCATGGAAGAACTTTGGAATGGCATCCACCAATCTTCTTTACAAGACTTCTTATCTCGAGGTTCAATCAAAGATAAAGATCAGAATGAAAAACAGGTTGATGATGCAGATGATAAAAATGAGATGTTTAAGAAAGAGTTTCTTAATAGTCTTAACACCCCTGGTTTTATTTCTTCACTAAACTCCCCATTTGAAGCTTTGGCTACTGTTGCTGTTTCTTCTTCTGCCACTTCTTTATTGAATTCCACTTGTTTTTCTGTCAAAAACAAGCGGATGTCTGAAGATCAGAACATTGTCGATGGTGAAATTGGTGTTGATCAAAGGCACAAGCGTATGATGAAGAATAGAGAGTCCGCTGCTCGGTCTCGTGCTCGTAGACAGGTCCTCATTCTTTCTTTTATAACGCGTCTGCGTTACATTAATAATAACATTGCTGATGTGGTGTTACCTTATTTTATCATCTGCGCATTATGTGCTTTATGATATGAATTTATCTAGGATGTGCTACTAAATTATGTTTATGGTAAGATGGTTCAAATTAATTTCCAAAGGCAATATATATGGAGTTTACCATATATTTTGTATATTCCTTCAAAATTTTGTGCAGGCTTATACAAGTCAGTTGGAAAGGGAACATGCTGAATTGAAAGAAGAAAATGCTAAGCTTAGGAAACAGCAACAAATGGTGATTACTTATCTTAATTAATTGGTTAGCTTTAATATTATGATTATTATTATTATGTTTGTGTTTGATTATATAGCCCTAAATGTGTTAAATTCATGTTTTTTGGATGTGATCTGGTCTTTGACCTTTGCCCTTTTACTGCTGTCCCACCTTAAACAGGGGAGCTGCTTATTTAACAATTGTTGAGGATAATGTCCAGGGTAGATCAAGAGTTTGTGTGCAAATTTTATTATATTTTCGGGTGTACCTGAAAGAAGGTATGTCCAGTGACGCGTAAGACCGTGAGACCTTGAACACGCGTTCTTATGAGCACGATCATGTGTTCTAGCTAGTGTCCCATGAATTAACTACACAAATATACAACTTATAGTCTGTGTGCACGTGCATAACACATGTCGCATGGGCATATGTAAGCTTTGAATGTATAATACTAGTGGAATACAATTTATGGCGAGTAATGCTACCTTAATTTATAATTAATATGTTGACAATATTTTGACATAGGTATATTACGTAGAAATATTATGATCAAGAAAATTCAATTAATTGTTTTTCAAAATTAGCTTGTAATGACTATAAAGTTTTTTTTTGAAAGAGTAATGACTATAAAGTTTTGATAGTTCAACATTTTAACTAGTTTAGTTTCCATTTTCCTTAACACAAATTATGTGTAGGCATATTATGGCAAGTAATTAAGAATGAAATTTGTCAAAACCTGTTTGGTTTCATTTTATATCATTGTCTTTAAAATTATATTGACCATTGATCATTTTTTAAAAAGAATATCATGGATCATCTTGCTAAAAACATAAAGTTTTACTTGATGAAATTAACACAAACATGAGTTGAACATTGATAATTTTATATTGTAAGTCATTTTAACTTCTAAATATAATAGAGATTAAAGATTTTAATTTAAATCATATAAGACCAAAGAAAACCTAATATACGTAGAGAGATTACTTATTTAATACAAGTATATAGCAATTCCTAATACGCAATTGTCCCATGATTAGAGGAATAAGTGATTTCTAGCTACTTTGAAAATGATTTTGACACTCTTATTTGCAAGTGGAACAAATATAATACTCTCAAAATAGTTGTCTATTAAATTCTAGACCTATATGGATATGATTGTGTGAAATTTTAAAAGCACTTTAAAATTGCCCCGTGATTTGAGTGAAAAAGTTATATAGGTTGTTCAAAATCTAAACATTAATTTTGCCAGAGTTTATCCATCTTTTCACTGCTTTTTGTTTGTTTAATTGTATGAAATTGGTAAAAGACGAAAGTATCACAACCTAAAGTAGTGAATGTGAGAATATGTTATTATTTAGGCAAAATTGGTTGTAATACCCTGAAATATGGCTTAGGTGCATTGAGCACTCTGAATTTTGCGTAGTAGCCAAACCACCACCCATTATGGTGTTAGGTGCGACGAGTACCTTAAATGAAAATTTACGGCCACTTATTTCATCAGAGTAGTTAAATCTTCACTCTCCAAAACAATTATGCAGTCTTCCATCCACTTGGCACGCGTGGATTCACTTCCTCTGGTGAAATTAATGGCCGAAAATTTTCATTCAAGGCACGCGTCGCACCTAATACCATAGTTAGTGGTGTTTTGGCTACTACGCAAAGTTTAGGGTGTTCAATACACCTAAGCCATACTTCAGGTGTTGCGGTCAATTTTGCCAATTATTTATCATAAGTTCTAAGTTGCTACGGAGTAATAAAAATGTCAAATAAAAGAAAACAGAGGGGTATAATAGACATTTTATAGTCCGAAAGTCAATTCCCCAAAACATGTGGTATTGGCGTATTGCATTACGCAAAAATTAATATTATATTGTTATGTAGGGCTACATAAGACTATGATTCTAAGCCAAGAAACTATAATTCATGCCTACTAAATTCTTCTAGTAAAGAATACAAAAAAAGTTCAGATTTTCAGTCGTCGTTGTGTTGAATAGTCAATTTATTTGGCCAGATATTTTTACTATTTCTCTTGTAAGATTTTTTAAGCATTTGTTTTTATTTTTTAGTTAGTATTTAATAATTCTATCACTTATCAATAGTGTTAAAGTTAGATAATTTTGTCGCTTTAAATTTCGTTATCATATCATAGTCATCTTTTTATTTTGTATTTTTGTGGGTGTTGGACTGTTGGGTGGTTGGGGCTAGAATTATTTGTCACTCGTGATTAGAACTTTAAAAGTGGCCATTGAGCCACTTTACCCAAGCCGTTGTGAATTACCTCGACAAAAGCTTGGGTATATTGTTAATGGTATTTTAATGTTGAACCTACCAAATTTGGGAGTTTACTCAAACTTAGTAATTTAGTTTAAAAACTTTAAGTTGCTAAAGTTTTCGATTTGACTTTATTTGACAATCAACAGTTGGTGGTTAATGGATAATAATTCCTTTTTTTAGGGGATGGGGATTCTCAATATTAGGGTGAGCACGGATCGGATATTCGTATCCGAAACTTAGGATATGTATTTATATCCGATATCCGATCCGAAATTTCCGGATCAAATACTTCGGATATCGAGTATCCGATTCTTTTATTAAAATTGATCATTTAATACTAAATTAAGCTTTTAAAGGCAAAATTAATTTTTTTAAAAGGAAAATTAATATGTATATTTGGTTTAAAAAATAAAAATAAAAATATGTATATTTAGTTTTTTTTTGCAGAATATTATTAACTCACAAAAATCAAATATTAAAGTATACTAAATTAGTAAATTACTAATTATGATGAGCAATCAAATATCAACCTTCAGAATCTAAAGACAACCAGAAAATGATGAGCAATAACTTAGAATCAACTAATTGAAATCGACAATAGAAGGCGGAAATCAGCCTATATTTATACTTAAAATCAACTAATTGAAATCAACAATAGAAGGCGAAAATGAAAATCAGCCTATATTTAACAAATTAAAATCAAAATCATGACCCATGAGTAGCTGAAAAGAAGGCGAAAATGAAGAACGGAAAACTGAAATCGTGAGAGCAGCGAAAAGTGGAAGAAGCCGTGAGGAGGAGAGAGTAGCCGCCGCTACCACCGTCGAAATGGAGAAGCCGCCGTCGATTTGGGACTGAGATCTGAGAGGAGCGCAGTCGATCTGAGAGGAGTTGCCGTCGATTTAGGAGCGCAATGAGGATTACGGTTGCTGGTTTGGTGGTTGGAAGGGGTCGTTCACTTCTGGCGGTTAAGGTGGTTGTTGTTGCTGGTGAGAAGGGGCGGCGCAGTAGCGAGGTGGTCAACTGGTCTGTGTCGAGTAGGGGGAGGGGTTGACCACCGGGAGGAGGGGGGAGGGCTGCTGAACAGGAACAGAGGAGAGAGAGAGAGAGAGAGGCGTGAGTTTGTGTCTGTGGGAAATGAATGAATATTGCCGTATTGGGTTTCTGTTTAGGGTTTCATTCTCAAACCTTTTTTTTTCTAATATGAGAAGGCTGAGAGGTAGAATATTCAAGAAATAAAAAAAGGTAAATTATGTGATTTTTTAGATATCGGATCGGATATTCGATATCCGACTTTTTTCAGATATCGGATATCCGAAATTTAAAATTTGGATATCCAATATCCGATTTATCCGAATCGGATATCCGATGCGAAATTAAATTCAGATCGGATATCCATAATTTACGGATCGGATGTGGATCGAATCATTGAATTTTTGGATCTTCAGATAGTTTTGCTCAGCACTAATTCTCATACTTATCCTTCACTCACAAGGGGTTGTGCCTGTTAAACCTAATAGAGTTAGAGTTGACTCGTGTGAGATTCTTCTTTAGGAAAGTGCATTCATCTTACCTAAAAAATAATTACAAAGAGGGGAATTAGTCGATAGCAAACGAGAACATGTTGTTCAATTTGTAGAATTAGCTAAAGCTTTCAACTTTTAAATTTGGTAAGAAAAGTCATGAATTGAAAATATGCAATATATAAGTACGAATCATATTATAGTTTTTATTATTTGATTATTTAAAAACCTTAAAGTCAATAGTTAGTATAAAATAAATAAATATTGCATTTATGACAAAAAAAATATAAAGTGTACCTTTCATTAAATATATTGTAATGTGTAGCCAAAGAAGTGGTTGTAATTTTGAATTTTAAAGAGAAGTTATCTCAAATTTGTCGTTTTATTTGTTGTGATTGCAGTTATCCCTATCTATTTCAAGTGAGGTGCCGAGAAAACGTAGTCATAGTAGATCGTCTACAGCACCACTTTAAGGCCGGAATAAGAAATTTAATCCAAGTTTTGGATTGGTTTCTAAGAAGAGCTGTATAAATTAGGGTTGCTATGGGAGTAGTAGAGTTCAGGGTTGCTTTGCCTTGTTCAATGCATTGTACAAATTATGAGTTGGAATTTTTGCTGATGAAACATAAACGTGTAGTATGATATTGTAAATATTTTGTTCTTTAATTATATGTCCTTATTGTGTGTGTTTATGTCATAGTTATACTCTCATATCTTTGTTTTTGGTCCAATGATTTAATTTTTCTTGTCCAATGGAATTGTACGGGTGGTTGAGATGAATAGACATAAACAGTTTAATAATTAGTTGCTAGTGCGTAGCAAAATTAAGTCACTTTAAATGGTATTGGGTCCACAGTAATGGCTAAGCAAAGTCAAAGTAGTGAGACCTTTAATGCAATTCAAATTTCAACCGTCAATATTTTTATATATACAAAATTAAAAATAATAATTTAAAAAAAATTAAAAAAGAAATAATTGGGTTTTTAGGGTTAAGAATATCCTAGCTTCCACTTTTCACTTAAAAGAAAAAAATCGATAAATATGAGTACATAATCAATCATCATCCTACTCACTATGTGAACATATTTCCTTTATAAGTTTTATAATCAATCATCATCAAACTAAACTATTTTTATTATAAGTTTTATAGAAATGTCTTAATCATAATCTATAGACCTACTTAAAAGCTCCTTTAAAGATGTGTATTGTCATGATTGTAAATTAGTATACAATTTATATTTTATTGAACAAAATTCATATTTATTGATGATTTAGTCCTATAAAATTTATTAAAATATTACAGTCTAAAATAATAAATTTATTTACCTCATTTTTTCCACTTTAATCGATACTAGTTGACTTTAGTGTTTGCTAAGATCCAACTATAGTTAAGCTCTTAAAAAAAACCTTTATTATTTAATTAGTCTTAGGCGAGTTGCAGCCTGCAATTCAAACTAAGGACATGTTTAATTATATCTATGCTATATAATAAGCTTAAATTTACTTAAAATACATAATTACATAATACATATATAAAATAAAACAAATTCAACATCTTTAGTATTAAGCTATATATATATATTTCCATTATCATCTAGGTTTTATATAAAATTTGTTTTGATTTATCTCAATGAATAGATCAGATTATTAATATTCAATTGTTATATTTTTCACTAATAAGCAACTAAGATATTTATGGTCAAAGTGTTGCATTGACAAACGTGCACAGTCCAAATGGGAAAAATCAAATGGGGACGAAGGGAGTAATAACAATTACACTAGAAACTTCTTGCAGTATGTTTAGAATCATTATGGATATCTATAAAGAATCTAAAGTTTGACAATGTCT